ACGACTTTCAGTCGGAGTCCAGCTCCGATTCTACGGCCACTGTGCACAAGGCATCCCTTATCTTCATCGCCCCATCGCTTTTCCCATCATTTCCAGCATTATGGCAAACAACTTCTTGTAAAACTACGTAAATAGTCCTAAATTTTCCACTCTGTTCGCCCGCCATTTTGAAAGTTTCGCTCTGTATACTTCATGTAACTTGCATGTTTTGAATACTTTTCCAACGAAAACCGCTGCCCACCGCGTATCGCATATTGGCGCTTTTGGATGCATTTTTGACAGGGCGCTTATATAATGGGCGGTGAAACGGATATAGGCGCGCTGATCGATGTGTGATGCGGCAGACTGGTAACAAGTCAAGTTAGTTAGTAAAATAAATAAACATGGCGACTGCAAATTCGGAATCATTGTCAAACTCAAATACGGAGTTTTTCTCAGACGAAGAAGCTGAAAGCGAGCTTACACTTTCCGTCCCACATTCTAATCGTGTTGAATATTGCAATATCTCTGCCAATATTACAGCAAGGAGTTTGACATCGTTTCTCCAAACGCTTTTGCAAGTGTACAAGCCGCCTGCAAATGAGAACTGTATTTTAACTTTGGCAGTGGAAGCAGCATTCAATGAGAGTAAGTCTGCCCTCGTAGAAGAGTTTCTACAGAACATATTGTGTTTGTTTGAAGTTTGTTTTAGCCAGGCAGGAGCAGAAAAACACTTTCAGAAATATGCAATAAGCTTAGAAAAGGCATTTGCTGAAAAACGACGTTCTAGTTTTCACCATTGTGCAATTAAATGGTCATGGGAGAGATTATTTACTAATACAGCAAGTCAGAGTAGTGAATATAATCAAGCTTCAGAACAGTTGCTGCAGCAAATTCTTCAGTACTTTTGGTCTTCAAGTAGTAATAGTTGTATTACTGTTGAAAGTCCTGAAGAGGAAGGTGAGGAAAGTACTGAAGATCCTGCTGCTTGTGATGAGAGTGATTTCGACAACATCAAAGATCATGCCGGTTGGGTAGTTAAACGAGCTAGGGAGACATTATATAAGCGCCCTGATTTTTGACAGGCGTGTTGCGTGCTCCCTTGGTTGACCCGCTTCAGTGAACTCTATATATATATATATATCTGGAACGATAACATTCAGTCATTTGATTGTGAAAACAATGAAGCCTCGATACCAGTCTTTCACGCGGATTGGACGTCAGTCTCAGTCCCTCAAACGTCAGGTTTACGCGGATTGGACGTCAGTTTCATTCCCCCTCTTGCAAACCGTTGCACGGCCAGTATAAATTTGAACGCAATCACGAAAAAAAAATTAAAAACATGGCCAACTCAATGCAATACATTGTAGGAGCAAACAGTTTTGCTCCTAAAATTTACTGCATTGAGTTCGCTGTCGGAAAAAAGTCGAGGAAAACTTCCCCGTGTGGAGAAAAGAATCACTTTTTCAAATATATTGTGTCGTACTGTCGTTCTGGATGCACAAGGAAAGAGATATTCTTGCGAGAAAATTTCATTTCACAGGTAGGTAAATTGACTTGCAACTGTGACTTTGCCGTTGCCATTTTTCGCGATTGTTTGAATTGTTTTTAGTTTACCAGTTTTATAGTTTTTAGTCAATACACTGGTACGTTATTTTTTAAAGAATTTATTGTGTGATCGGAATTTGCCTGCCAGCAAAATGTAAATGAATATGTACGTGTGTTTGAATATAAATTAGACCATATGGGCTTAGTAAAAAATTATTTTAATAACTACATTTCGGAGTATAACTCCATCTTCAGGTTTATAAAAGTGAATAAAGATATAAAAACTGTGATAAAAACTTTCAAAACAATTACAAATTTTATATGTAAGTGATTTTTAATACTGTAAGAATTAAGAAAGTTCTTGAACAGTTGATGACGAAGACAATGACGAATACTTATGTCGTGATTTTTCTATTGTCGGCTTCACTTTTCGCTCGCTGTTATCGTTCCAGATATATATATATATATATAGAGTTCACTGACCCGCTTTTAGTCTGAACCACTGAGCTATACTTAATATATCTGGAGATCGTGCTCCAATACCTCGTCAGTCAAAAATGTGTGGCCAAAAACATGGCGGATTTTGGCCAAATTTACGTCATTTTGACGTCACAATCGACCTAAATTTATGGTGAACACCACTGACCTAAAATACCAACGTGAAGAAAAAAGTTATTCACACCACAGAGTAGATAAGACATACAGAGACAGAGACGTAACTGACCGTTGTAAACACTGCGGAAGATTACGTTATCATGTACCCACTTTTTTTCAGGCGACCGGACGAAAAATGATCAACTGCGCATGCTCAGCAAGTTTAAAGTGAGTCGTCATCAGGTCGTCATCCAATCAGATGCATGTATCTAGTAACTTGCCGAGCATGCGCACAAAAAAAGTGGGTACACTAGTTACATCTCTGTATGTCTCTACTCTGTGTTCACACCCCCCTTTCAATTTGCTTAAAACAGAAGGAAGTAAAATAGTAAATTCAAAATTTCGGTCGGAAATTTCTATATTGAAACAAGACATTTGCAACCATGCCAACTTTTTGTTCAATTCCTGGTTGCCAAAAATCTACTGAAAGAAAGGACCTGTCCTCACATGCGTATTATAAGGCTCGTATAATCTCTTTTTTTGTAATAATTTAACGCGTGCTGTATTTGCTGTATTGAATGCGTAAAATTGTGAATTCATGAAATTTATTGGCAAGCAACATACAATACAATTTATGTTAGTGTACTACAGTGCAAAAGCAGAACAAAATTTTAAAATATTGACAAGCTTGTGGAGCTGTTGTCGAGCAAGTATTTATTTTCATGCAAGTTGATGGATGTGATGCAGTGATGAAATCCTATCGATATCCTAACAGATAATGCTATGTTAAGTTAATGGGTTAATTACCCCTCATGTACAGTATGACCATTAATTGTACTGATAATAAACTGTAAAGATCACAACCAAGCTGACCAAAGCAATCATTAAAGATTGTTGGTACAGCATATGGCTTTAACACTGGTCTCTGGCTGTAATCCTCCTCAAAGATATCAGCACTAAAATGCTTTGAACACAAACGACTATTTTTCATAGGAACAAACTTCACTGGCATAAGTTTGCTTATATTCTTCACCCATATGCTGTGCAATTCAGGGAATCTCTTCTCATCTGGAAAGCTTTGAAGTAAATGAACAATTGTTTTTAGTGTCTAGTTAATACACTGTTCAATACGATACCTATAACTTACAATATAAACAATGCCACACTAGACAACACATGGTTTAGTCCACAATAAAGACAATACAATGAGTGAAAGGCTTTGTACTTTATCACATTGTTAAAATTCTCATTTGAAATTTTTTAATTTTTCTGCTAACAACTTCAAGTTATTTGTACACATTTTGGTCTGTTTAGCTAAGCCAAGATTGCTACATTTACATTTATTTTGACCATTTGTGTTAGTGTACAAATTAATAGGCTAGCATAATTACTGTAGGTGCTGACCATCAAGTAGGGATTGACATGCATATAATTGGTTGAGCAGTTTATTTAATTAAATTGGTGTTGTATGTGTTTAAAAATAAAGAATAAATTTTGTTGTGATTTGAAATTGAATATATTATTTATTCTTATTACTAAATGTAATTATATAATTATCTTGGAAAATCTTTTTTTGAATAAAATATTTTTTTTAATAATTCTTCACTGTCATTCCAATTGAAGTGTTCCTCAAATATTGATTCAATACATTACCTCGGGCTAACCAGTTCATTTGATTAAGTTCCTCAAGATATTCATACACTTCCTAGTATAATTGTAAACTTCCTGTTAAATGGTTTGAATGCACCAATCACCTTTGTTGTTTGTGCAACTAACCAATCATAAATAGAAAGGAAGTGACCAGAAATGATTAAATACTTGGAATTGGCTCTTTCACAGGATGTGTATGAATATCTGGAGGAACTTGATGAAGTGAGATGCTTGTGTGATGTTACTCTGAGTGTGTATCCACACCGGGCAGGCTTGAAAAATATGCCTGGCCACAGTGGGATTTGAACCTACGACCTTTGGAATACTAGCCCAAATGCCAATGCTCTGTCAGCTGAGCTATGCGGTCAGGTCGGTTTGAATCCCAATGTGGCTTGGCATATTTTTCAAGCTTGCCCGGTGTGGATATGCACTCAGAGTAACATCACACAAGCATCATATTCACAAATATCATGGTTATTAGATTACACTGATATCGAAGGAACTAGACTCAGTTCCGAAATATCGCATACTCGAACTGCCCCGACTGTATAGCTCAGTTCGCAGAGCATTGGGCCAGTATTCCAAAGGTTGTAGGTTCAAATCCCACTGTGGCCAGGCATATTTTTCAAGCCTGCCCAGTGTGGATATCCACTCAGAGTACGTAACATCACACAAGCATCTTATTCACCTGAGTACATGTATTACACCAACACAGAAAATATCTTGATGGAATGAATTGGTCAGCCCGAGGTAATGTATTGAATCAATATTTGAGGAACACTTAAAAATAAGGTATGAATCGCATAAAATGCAGATATCAAAATCAAACATTGTAACTCGAGCATAAAAATGTGCATATTTGTTTTAAAAGGATTGTTCCTTGAATGTTCAATGAAATAGTGCCATTGCCTTTTACAAGGAAGACCATTATAAAGAAATACACTTGACTTTCTTCATTGCCATCTGGTACTTTATAGTACAGGTATCCCATATTTTCTTGATAAATTCATACCTGAAAGCGGAATACATACAGGTGTAAAAAACTTTAATGGTGATATAAGTGCTTTATATTCCAAAGAGTTGCTTTTCCCCACAATTTACTAATAGAATAAACTGGTATTAAAATCTCTAAAAAAACCTTTGTCACTCAGGGAAATTTACATTGGGAAATTTATAGCAGTACGGTTTTCAACAAGCTATATTTGCTTAATTTTACCTGCTGGGGATTGTTATAATACTCGTGTTTTAAAGAATAATCTTGATAGTCAGTTGCAACACAAATTCACAATACAAGAATTGATAAATCATTTCAATGACTTACATGCTTTGTTCTTGTGGCCGTCAAGCTCCATTCATGTCTTTTTTTATTAATGGCTTTCGGTCTTTATTGA